AACATCCATTCATGATAAAAACTCTCCATGAAATAGGTCTAGTGAGAATATACCTCAACATAATAAAAGCCACTTATGAAAAACCCACAGCTAACATCATATTCAATGGTGAAAATCTGAGAGCTTATCCTCTAAGATTAGGAACAAGACAAGGATGTTCACTCCCACCATTTTTTAATCAACGTGGTACCAGAAGTCCTAGTCACAGTAATCAGGCAAGAAAAAGATAGAAAAAGCATCCAAATTGATAAGGAAGAAATACAACTTTCACTCTTTGCAGATGACAGTATTATATATAGAAAACCCTAAAGAACCATCAAATAACTACTAGAACTGATAATTCAGCAAAGTCACAGGATATGAAAGTAATATACAGAAATTCATTGCATTTCTACACACTAATAATGAAGTAGCAGAAAGAGAAATTAAGGAAACAATCCCAATGACAACTGGACCAAATATAATAAAATACCTAGGAATAAACTTAACCAGGAAGGTGAAATACTGGTACTACAAAACCTATAAATCACTGATGAAAGAAACTGAAGATGACACAAAGAAATGGAAAGACATTCCATCCTCATGGACTAGAAGAACAAACATTGCTAAAATGTCCATCCTACACAAAGCAATCCACAGATTTAATGCAATCCCTATCAAAATGCCAAGAACAATTTTCACGGCACTAGGACAAATTATCCCCAAATTTGTATATAACCACAAAAGACCTCAAATGGTGAAAGCAATCTTTTTTCTTAAAAAAAGATTTATTTATTTCAGAGAGGGAGGGAGAGAGAGAGAGAAAACAAGCAGGAGAGGGAGAGAGAATCCTAAGCAGACTCCACACTGAGCACAGAGCCCAATGTGGGGCTCAATCTCATGACCTGAGATCACAACCTGAGCCGAAACCAAGAGTGGATTGCTTAACCAACTGTGCTACCCAGGCACCCCAGCTGAACAATCGTAAGAAAAAAGAACAAAGCTTGAGGTATTACAATGTCAGATTTCAAGATATACTACAAGACTAGAGTAATCCAAAGGAAACAAAAACACTAATTCAAAAAGGTATATACACTCCTATGTTTTCTGTAATAATATTTACAATAGCAAAGATATGGAAGCAACCAACATGTCCATCAACTGATGAATGGATATATATCTCAAATGGAAAATTTATATATATATTATATATATATAAGGAATATTGCTCAGCCATAAGAAAGAATGAATGAAATATTAGCATTCCAACGTGGATGGACCTAGAAGGTATAATGTTAGGTGAATTAAGTCAGAGAAAGACAAGTACCAAAAGACTTCACTTATTTGTGGAATTTAAGAAATAAAACAAATGAACAAAGACAAAAGAGACAAAGAAAAAAACCCAGACGCTTAAATACAGAGAAGGAATTGGTGGTTGCCAGGGGGATGGGTGAAATAGATAAAAGGAATTAGGCATATATTTATCTTGATGAGCACAGAGAAGTGTATAGAATTGTTGAATCATTACACTGTATACCTGAAACTATTTTAACACTCTATGTTAATTACACTTGAATAAAAAAAGAAATACAAATGCTAATAAGCCAATGAAGGCAAGATCAATCTCACTTACAACTGAAATGCAAATCAACCAACAAACAAAAAGACTCAGAAGCACAGAGTAGAAAAGTGGTTACCAGAGGTGGGTGGAGAAGGAAATGTGGAGGTGCTGGCTTGAGTAAAAAGTTTCAGTTATTAAAGAATATTTTGTTTGGTAAGTAATTCAATTAAATTCTATTTAAAATGTATTGTGGAACACAGTAAATATAAGGAATTCTGTGTATTCTATAATAAAGAGTACAAATTTATTTTTAAATTCAGAAATATGTAAATTCAGCTATTCGGGACAAATAGATTTTCGGGAATACCTAGATTTTGAGCTTTTTCAAAGATGAGAGTGTCAAGGTAAGCTTAAAATCATCATCTCTCTAAGATTAATAAAAAGGAGAAAGAAAACTGAGAATCAGCAAGTATGCAGGAAAGTGACTATCTTAGACTGCTAATGAAAATTAATAAAACTTTACCCAGTGCTTATACAGTGCCTCATACACATACAAGAGGAATTCAGGAAATAGTTCTGTTAAATGAATACTACCTTTATGCATGTCAGTTTGGCAATGTATTGATATTTTTTATGCCTTCTGACCTATAATTCCATTTCTAGAAATTCATTTTAAGGAAACAGAAATGTACATAAAGATTTCGTACAAAGTGTTTCAACAAAGCACTGATTGATTGTAACAGCAAAATAATTGGAAATACGCTAAATTTCCAAAAAAATTATAGAAATTGTACATTTGATAATGGTACATTCATGCAACCAAATATTTATGCCATCATTAAGAATTCTCTTTTATGTCATCCAAATAGTGGTGGAGTCAGGATTCAGATTCAGACTTACATACATTTCTCTAAGAATGTAGATAAAGCTTAGGGGTGACTTCAGGCTGGAAAAGGTAAAAATTGCAATGGTGAACAGGGCCCTGGGGGAGGGGCTGCTACTAGCAGTGCAGTCTCGGTAGGCGGTATGAGTCTGGCTGGGGACTGGGTCCCCAGAAGACTGTGGGAACCAGGTTTCTGGGTTCCTGGAAGCAGAGGAGAAAGACGAGTTCTACCAGATGACTTACGGGGGTTTCACAGAGGAATTGGAAAATAATGAGTATCAAGGGCACCAGTCAGACACAGAGGATTAGGTGGACTCTGACTTTGACATCCATGAAGGGGATGAACCATTCAGTGATAGAAAAGCAGAAGAGCCAAGAAGGAAGTGCTGAGTAGTCACCAAAGCATATAAGGAGCTTCTCAAGATTTTGAGACCTCGAAAAGTCAGCACTCCAGCTGGTAGCTCTCAGAAGGCCTAATAAGAGAAAGCACTGCTGCCAATAGGAACTACAGGAAAATGGCTCTGACAGAACTCCATGTGTCAGTCTACAGCTGAGCATACGTGACAGACATTCCTTTGGGTACAGGAGAGGCAGCGCCAGTCACAGCAGTGAAAGGGGCCCCATTGTCAGTGGCTGCTGATCCAGGAGGTGCTGCTCAGAGAGGCCAAGACCACAGAGGAGCTCAACTTAAGTTTATTAGAAACATATGAGCAGATCAAGGCTGACAAAAAGAAGCAGATGCACAAGACGCAGATGTGCCCTGGGCCCATAATCACATCATTCAGTGGTGAGTTATTCAGTTATTGGGGAGCCAGGCCCTAAAGAAAATGTGGATGTGGAAGGACTAGATCCTGCTCCCACAGCTTCTGCACTGACTCCCCAGGCCAGCACTGGACCCATCAACCCTCCTGCTCACTGCTCCTGTACCTTCATTATTTTCAGTGATAATGTGACATTTGAGGAATGGTTTCCCCAAGGGCTGCCCCAAAGGTCTCTGTTTGGGAGGTCTGCCCTGTACTGGGACTCTGTCACATCTGCCCAGCCCTGTACTGGGACCCTGTCACAGACATCCCCTACACCACTGCTCAAGGCTTCAAGATCATCCATGAGGCCTACAAGTAGAACATCACTGCCCATGGATTGCCGCCCACTGCCTCAGCACTTCCCGAGCCACTTACTGGCTCTGGGCCCCAAGTCTTGCACCAGAAAATTGTCATCAAATAAGGAGATGTTTACTCTTTAGAAACCTCTTTCATGCCCTGACTTGGGGCTCTTACTGTTCCCCCTCCGCTCCCTGCTTTTCCCCTTTGTCATCTCTGAGCTTTGCCCAGGCCTTTTCTATATTTCCTTCCCCCAATTCCTCCAGGTTTTATTTGTGCTTTTTATCTAATAAAAGAGAAAGATCCCCTTAAAAAAAAAACTACAATGGTGAACAGAATCAATAGCCACAATTAAGTATCAACAAGCTGGTATGATAGACTAGATCAATAAAACTTAACAGGCATAATTGTACCTGTAATGGAGTCCAAAAAGTCCATATACTTAAGTACAGATTGGAAAAAGACAGCTTACCGGTAGCCCATATAAAGAAGTTTAATTAATTTTAGAGAACTCCAAGTTTACTCTGTCATGGTCAAAAGCTGATTATAAGCAAGGTTGATTATAAGGACACTCAAAACAAATATAAACATAAAAATGAATGTGATCTCAGGCAGTATTAATAGAAATACATTATCTAAAACAAGAGAAGTCAGAATCTGACTCTATCCTACAGTCACCTGAAAAAAACACTAACCATCCTAAACATGTTTGGCAAAGAATGACCATTATAGTGCAAGAACTCCAAGCTATGACATATGAGGGTTAAAGCTACTAATATACTTATCCAGGATACAAAATTACTTAAAGTGTAACTGATATCTGAAGAGTTGTTTTGTGGAAGAGGCATGAGAATTTTTCTATATGGTACCAATGCCAAGAGATACAAGGCCAAAGGATAGAACTTATTATGAGACACAGCTGTGTCTGACATAAGGAAGGACCTCAAGCTGAATGAGAGCTGCCAGAAAATGGGTAGACTGCCTTAGGTTCCTTTTTCCAGAATTTTATTGTTGTAGAAGATAAATGGCCACTTAGTGTGCCTATTGTAGAGGGGATTACAGTACCACAGAAGGCTGCACTAGAAAACATCTAAGGTCACTTTCAAAGCTGAGATCTTAATGAATTTCTTACTAAAGTTTTCAAATATCAGGTGTACTTGTATAAATTTGTCAAGAAAAAAAAAAAATCAGACTGCTTGTAAGTACTAAGATCCTGTACTACTACTTGTTTATTCACTAAGAAAAATCACTAATTTTTTTCATTGGAGTTAGAATTTTAGATGTTTGATTTAAATATAATAAATACGGTGTTTATTTTGACACACCCTACGACTATTTCTTTCAACTTATAAAATGTGCCTAACAAATACTTTAAATACATTTTTATGAATAGAGATAAGTCAAAAATAAAAACACTCATGGCTTTTACATCATATGTATGTTATACAAAATGCACAAACTTTTGTAGGCAAATTACCTGCTCTGGTTTTACTAGTTGCTTTTTGTATTCTTCTTCTTTAGCTGCATGCACAGTTATAGATGCACATATCAGACCTCCAGGTATGGTTGTCAGCTTTCCCATCTGAGAAAGATATATCATTATTTTTAATTGAAAACCTCCCCATCCTCCATTTCCTGATACATTCTGGGGGTATCCAAGCAACACTATGGGTTTTATTTAAAGTATTAAAAACTCAAGCACTCCAAATTGCTGCATATATTTTTAGAGTATAATTCCTAAAATTCTCATATCATCCTAGATAGTACAGTATTATTTTTATTAGTCAACTTTAGTCTACTTCATATGGAATATACCAATAAAATAATTACCAAGAAGTGAATACAAAATTTGAAGGATTCAGTAGGATAGATCATGGTAGTCACTTAGTACACAAATACGTGTCAGACCATTGGTCTCAGTGCTTAGGCTATATCGATAAACAAAACAAAGATTCTTGCTTTTCTGGAGATGACATTCTAGTGGAGCACAGACAGACAATAAACACAATAAATAAACAATATATTAGAAATTGATAAATGCTATGGAGAAAGTAAAAGATAAGGGTGATCTGGAGTACTGAATGATTCAAGTTGTATCTTGAAATACAATTTATATTTATTTATAAAAATAATTTCCTTCCATTACAAATCCTTTATTCCTAACTTTCCAAAACATTCACTTTTTACCTATCTCATGCTTTATTTAAGCCAAAATGAACTTTGTTTTGGATATAACTTGATTTGAATTAAGAATGCAGGAAAGGGGCAGCAGCATGGCAGAGTCAGCTAAGCTACGACTCTTGGTTTTGGCTCAGGTTGTGATCTCAGCGTTGTGAGATCAAGCCCTGCACTGGGCTCTGTGCTGAGCACAGAGTCTGCATGAGATTCTCTCTCCCTCTGCCCCTTCAGCTCATGCTCTCTTTCCTGATCTCTAAAATTAATAAAAATTTAAACAAAAAAAAATAATGCAGGAAAATCACTGGCTCTAAGAACAAAGTGCTCCAGTGTCATTCAGGTATCAAAATATTTCCCAAAAATTATCCATTCAAGGCCGACTGAAAAGCTTTCCAGGGAACAAATATTTTCTTTACATAGGAAAAGCTGAAATTGACAAAGGACATCCAGAGGAAAGAGGTCTCTTTGGCTTACACAGAAGAGAAATTATACAAGAACTGGAAGAAATACTAGTCAAAGGACTCTAAGTGTTCTCTGATAACAGTGATAGTGCCTATACTTCATTTCTGACATATTTTTCAATATCTTCTGAGCAGAATAAGGGAAGCTAGAGACTTTAGTTAGGCTACTTCCTGTTTAAGCCAGTCATGACTGATTTAGACTGAGACTTCAGACAGGGTAAAATGAGGACTCAATACTAATAAAAATTTTGTTCACTGTTGTTTTCCCTTCAAGCCTCCCTCTGATATATATATCAGCATCACAGAATAATTTATCTAGGCCTGCCTTCCCAAAAGACATCACATTTGATTTCCTTATACTCGGTATTCACTAATGAAGTAAGATTTCTACACCATACCTATGTAATTTCTCAATAAAAAAATATTAAAGCTGATGCCATCAAGGATGCTCTCCCATGCACCTGAGAAATTTTGTTAATATATCTCTGAAGTGATTAAAGAATGTAAATTCTCACATTTAAAAGCTATTTTAAAACAGCTGATTAAACCTCATTCCTTAAATACGAAAAAATAGTTGAAGTATGCTAATATCTAAAAAAATTTCAATTACCCTAATCTTCTCAGAGTATATTCATCTTCACATAATACAATAATAATATATAGACTATAAAATAAATTCATAGGTATTACTTGATATTTATGATCCAGGGCTCCAGAGTCTAGATTAACTGAACTAGTGGCCTAAAAAGTTAACATATTTTGAAAAATGCCTAAGTAAATTCACTATATTTTCTATTCAGTAGGGTAGGGCCCATCCACCTTTTACTAATGAGGCAGTGTGGCATAATGGTAAAAACATGAGCTTAGGAGTTACACAGACCTGATTTTAAATTCCAGTTGTGGAACTGTTAAATCTGGGCAAGTAACTTAAGCTGTTAGAGTTATGCTGCACAATATGGTAACTACTAGCTACTTGTGGTTATTTAAATTTAAATAAAAAATAAATAAAATTTAAAATTTATTTCCTTAGTCACATTAGCTCCATTTCAAGTGCTCAACAGTGTACTGTACAGACAGATACACAGTAATCCCATCATTGAAGAAAATCCTACTGGACAGTGCTACCTTAGAGTCTCAGTTTATTTATCTGAAAAACATGGAAATGCCTTCCTTTTATATGGTTATCATGAAGATTAAATAATTATATAAAAATGGCTTGTACTTGGTAAATGGACAATTAATTTTAGCTCCCCAATCTTTCCTTGCTGAATAAAGATGTTAAGTGACTGCACTTACTCCTCATTTTTCTTCTCAGCTGTATTTGATGCTAATCAGGCTCTGGCTGAGATCCGTAATAACAATAAAATACAGCATACTTGTCGTCTCAAAATAGAAAAGGCCAAGATTTTGATCAAAAGAAAACAGGCACATTGGCATCCTCAGGCTTTTTCAAACACAGGTTATACGGATGAAGAAGGGATTTCCTACCCAAAGAGAGGCAGCTGACTGCATAACACATGAAAACTTTAGAATAGGAATTGGCAAATTACAGCTCTATGCTAAATCTGGTCTGGTCTCTGAGTTAAGAATGTTTTTTTAAAAATTTTTTAAAGATTTTATTTATTTATTTGTCAGAGAGAGAAAGTGCACAACGAGCACAAGCAGGGGGAGTGGCAGGCAGAGGGAGAAGCAGGCTCTCCACTGAGCAAGGAGTCCCATGCAGGACTTGATCCCAGGAAGCTGGGATCATGACCTGAGCCAAAGGCAGATGCCTAACCAACTGAGCCATCCAGGCGTCCTATTTTCATTTTTTTTTAATATTTAAAGAATAGTGAAAACAAAAATAAGAAACAAAGAATATGTGACCTTCTGTTTTGTAGAGTCTAACAAATTTGTTATCTAACCCTTTACAGAAAAAAAAGCCAACTCCTGATTTAGAAAATTAAATAAGACATTCAAAAAATACCAGAGCTTGAGGGTACTATACAAACCTACAGTCCCATAAGGCCATTAATTAAATAGCATTAAAATTGAACAAAGGCAATCCTACTTTACACAAGAAGATCTTCCATTAAAATTATTTGTAACTTCAAAATAATGGCTTGTCAATTCAAAACTATTAACGACTTGTTTAAAATCAGAGAAAAATTGGCTTCCTCCAAAAGATAACAGGTTCTAGAACAGAATTCTATCATACAGAGATTTACAAAAACCAAGACTGAAGATGAGCATCGGATTAACTCGCACACAAGACTCAACCTTTCCAAACACTTCTGTAATCAAAATACAGTTGATTCTCATTATTTGCAGTAGTCGCATTCCATAAAATAGCTGTGAAAACTGAAACACTGCTCCTAGGGAAAATAAAGGGTTAATTTCTTGCAAGCCTTTGGTTACATTTTTATCAACTGACCAATATGTAACCTTTATTTATGTGTTTCTGTTTAAAAACACCTTATTTAATATATAGTTAATTCATTAACATTAAACTTAAGGTCAACAGCACTGTAACTCATGCCTAAACGAAGTATACTCAACACAAATATTTTCTCTATAAGGCATATCATGTATTTCTTGCACTTAAAAATACTAATAGCACTTGTGCACTATGCATGGGAGCCATTTTAAATAGCTGCATCACCAAAAAAAGTGAAAAAAAAATGTAGGACTAATTAGATCACAGAAGGGATCATTAGGGAAATCCAAATCAAAACCTCACACTTGTCAGAATGGGTAAATGCCTTATCCATGTTCACTTGGGAACACAAACATATGGGTTATTTTCTACTTTACGAAGAGAATTGAAATGTGAAGTTTTCTTTATAAGAATTTTTGTTACCTATTTTGTAATAAAGACTATATATTTATTAGTCTAATATAAAACCAGTCCTAATTATTAGTTCTGCTTTAGAGATGTATCATCATGTAGCAAAGGATTTTTTGTATTAAATCAAGAGTCCTGGGTGTTATATCCAATTGATGAATTACTAAATTCCACATCTGAAACTAATGTACTATTGGCTAATTGAATTTAAATTTAAAAAAAGAAAACAAATAAATCAAGAGTCCTGTGATAAGTATAAAATTGTTTTAAATTTAAAAATTAAAAGGGGTGCCTGGGTGGCTCCGTAGGTTAAGCATCTGACTCTTGATATCAGCTCAGGTCATGATCTCAGGGTCCTGGGACTGTGCCCCACATTGGCTCTGTGCTCAGCAGGGAGTCTGCTTCTCTCCCTCTCCCTCTGCCCCTCCCCCTGTTCACACACCCTTGCTTTCTCTCTCTTTCTCTCTCTAAAATAAATAAAATATTAAAAAAATTTAAAGTTAAAAAGGTTAAGCCCTGAAAACTAAATGGAAAATGAAATAAACAATGCAGAGGCAATGATCAAAGAGAGAAACAATTCACAGTGATTACCACCAAGTAACTGATTGTCCATCCCTAATGGGCAACAATATAACCAAAGAAGAGAAAACAGCAAAAAATACAAATGCAAAAACAACAAAAATCTTAAAACTGTTCTTAATAATGTATTTAATAATATGTTTCTAATAATCATACTGTTGGAGGCCATGTTGCCATTTTATAAGGAAACTCTTGTGTGTGTTGTTTTGTAGAATAAGACAAAGTACACTGGAATTTGAAAGATTGAGATTTTCATATGGGACAAAGATTGATGAAGTTAAAGCAAAATCTTCTAGTTCTCAATTTAAATAGGAATTATCAGTTATCCTATATTATTATGACACAGGAGATAAATACAATGAAACATGTTAAAAGGCACCATGGGAATTCATTAAGAAAATTCAGGAATTCAGAAACTCTAAAGAGAAAACGACATGACCTGATTTCCTCAATAAATAAATGATGCAAAATGGAGGAACAGACTTATGAGACTTAAAATCAATAAATTCTAACATATAGATACTGTTTGGAACAAGAATTTTA